CTAGGATCCCAGGGTGCCGTCCGTGCTGCTGCCCCAACCTCGCGGTTCATCTGCCTGGCCACTGAGGGCCAAGGCCGCGTTCAGCCAACCCTGCAGGGTGTTTCTATGCCTGCCTGCAGGTGCCTGGTAACTTTTACTGCTTAATGGAAGGAAAGCTGAGCTGGTCTAAATTTAACTTTAAAGATATCCTTTAAAAAATTAAGGCGCAATTATCTCCCATGAAGGTTTTCTCTCCCTGTAAGCATCAGGGCTTTGTGCTTTCAAAAAAAGAGGTCCAAAGTTGGAGCAACCACTTGGGATTCTTGGAAAGTGACCCTGGGCAGGGGGATACTGGGTGCACAGGGTGATCTTTCAAAAGCCCCTTTTCCCAAGGTCCTTTGGGAAGTGCATCCCCCTCCCACTTGCAGATTAAAACCGCTTGGATCTAGAAGCAAAGCAAATTCTGACTCCAGTTCCCATGTAGGCTCAAGTAGGCTGGAATCATGGCCAGATCATTGACCAGAGAGTACTGACCTAGCTGTCACACTCACTGTGTGAGTCTTGGGTGAGTCATTTACCTTCCCCCAGCCTTCGATTCCTCATCTGTAAAATGGAGAGAAAATACCTCCTCTGACAAGCAAATGAGTAGTGGTGAAAGCTGAATGCAAGGTGCTGGTGTTATCTGAGCACTCAAAGGGAGAAAACCTTGCTCTGTCTAGGGAGCAGAGGCAGCAGGAACCATGCCATTTTTGTTGGAGGGTTGCTTGCTTCATCCAGTTTCTTGGAGAGGTGAAAATGATACACCCACTGTGGCAGCCATCATCCTCCCTGCCCCTCTCTCCCCACAGAGCTCAGTGTAGGGGAAGCTCCCATACCTCTGTGCAGGTGAGACAGCTGTAAATCAGGGCTCCGGAATTCCTTCTCCAATAAGATGTCTCCCCAAAGACATGTACTGAGAAATGGAGGCATCTACTCAAAGCCTCCTGTTTTGGGTACCTTATCTTTCAGCCACAGGGAAGTCCTGCCTCACAACCCCAGAGAGTTCTTGACTGAGCTGTAGATAAGAAGTTTGGGGTTGAGAACTGCAGTTGAAATTAAACAGCCCAGAAAAGGTGAGCACTGTTGCCAGCCCTTTCAAGATTTACCTGCGCTCTAAGACCATCACACAGAACCCCGGGGTTGATCTAGCGTTTGCCTTTATCAGAACTCTGCACACTGAAAGATGGGAGCAGGCTCCCCAGCCAACGCTTTGGCCCAGTAAAGGGCCCAGGTAAATGACCATCATGGGAGGAGTAGGGGGAGCAGCAAGAGAACTCACCTCTGCAGCATCCCAAGCACCTTGGACCTCTTTCAGGAGCCTCACCCTGGAGCTGCAGGTTCGGGCCTACAAAGCGTTTTGCTGCAGGCTCTGCAGGGGACCCCCCAGGCAAGCTGCTGAGCTGCTGTTGGCTCCAGACAGAAGCTGCAGCACAGGAGTCCATTGCTCAGTGCTTTGTAATACCGCTTCTGAGTAACAGATGGCAGACAGTTACACAAGAACACCGCCAAGCTTTTGAGATGGTGCAGCACCACCACACTGCTGAGATGCTGAGGTGCCTCATTCTGACTGTTTGGCATATGGGGAAACTGAGGCCCTGGGGTGAAGGCAGCTCCATGCAGGGCCTGCAATGTCTCAGAGAGTGGGAATTTCCTTCCAGGAATGATTTTCTTCTCAAATCATTATTTTGTCCTCTACTCAAGTGAGGAAGACTTCCTGGGCCTATGGAAGCTGTCAAGGGAATCCAGTTTTGCTAGGTGTCATTAGCTGATCCAGCCTGAGATCGTATCAGTTTAGGTTGTCAAACCAGTAAATGTCATTAGGACTGAAGTAGATTTCAAGTGGGACTTCAAACATCTGGAAGTGAAGTGAGTGTCCATGTGCGGGGCCCAGTTCTGTAGGTCTCTCCAGGCACCCAGTCTATCCAGGGGTCCCCCATGCTCAGGAATAGATTTGAAACTCTTTAATAACCAGCTTTAAGCCTGGGCAACATAGCGAGACCTTGCCTCTAAAAACAACAACAACAAATAGCCAGGCGAAGTGGCATGTGACTGTAGTCTCAGCCACTTGGGAGGCTAAGACAGGAGGATTACTTGAGCCCAGGATTTTGAGGCTGCAGTGAGCTATGATCTCACCACTGCACTCCAGCCTGGGTGATGGAGCGAGACCCTGTCTCAAAAAATGAATAAATAAAATAACAAACTCAAGTAATGCAGAGTATGGCTGATCCCAGCGGGGGATTAGCTATCAATGGCGATTAATCCAAGTTACTTTTTTCTTATCACTGCCAATATGGGGAAGAAAAGCTCCTAGCAAAAGATTTAACATGGCAGGAAATGAAAAAAATAAATACACTCTGAACTAGGACTCTCCTGGTGCCCTAAAACAGATCTACCTCCTCAGTCTTGATATTGTGGAGCCAAGCTCCACATTTCTCTGGGTCTGTGGTTTCCCATCTGCAATGTCATGTTCTCTCAAAGACCCTCCCAGCTGATGCATTTAGGGTTCTGACCTTTCTTGTCTTGGATCAGGACCTTCTTTATCACTCCTGTTGTTGGCGAGTTCTGTGTAAGCTGTTCTCTCCTCACAGCCGAAGACATTAGAGAGCAAATTGGGTGCTGGAGCAGATGTGAGTCATTCATGTTAGTATAAAAACTATGGAATGAAACCCATTACAGCCCGGAAAGCAGTGTAAAGCAGCATATGGAGCAAATGCAAGCTGGAAGCAGGAGGAAGCTGTGAAGTCCGATGCATATGCTCTGCGGCGGCTTTTGCTGTGGATTCTCACACTTCGCTTCTCATTTCCTGTAGCCGTCTCCCCGTCATTCTCACTCAGCCCGCTGCAGAGGTTGCAGCCTTTGTTCCTTTTGCATCAGATTCTCCAAGTCCCTCCTCTCTGCCCACTGAGTGACTTCAGGGAGGCTGTGTGTGCGCTAGTGACTGTGTGTTTGTGTCTTGCCATCTGCACACTTATTAGACCTGTCACAACCAGCGAGACACCCTGTGTGCCAACCTAATGAAATTTCGCCCACAGAGGCCCAGACAGTTTTCTGTTGAGGTCTTTACCTCTTCTGGGCCATAGGGAAAGGTAAGCGGTAGCAGGGCAGATTGCAGCACAATGAGAAGATGAGCCGCACACATGCTGGCCCAGCCCTGGCAGGGTTCCCCAGCAGCAAAAAGAGCAGCAGTGAAAATTCAAAGATCTGTCTGTCTTTATTCCACAGTTATACAGATACAGGTCTTTGGGCTGACTCCTGCAGTTGACTCTGTTCAAGTTCTCCACTGTAAATAATACGTCAACCCCCCTTTCCTCTGTGTTCCTCTCCATTTTCCTTGCCACTGTAGATCCTGTCAAAACCGCATGTCCCGGGTCTCCTGCAAGGCTTTCTTATAGAGTGAGTGATGGAATAGTTTAAACCACGTGGTCAATGAGGATGAGCTATTACCAACCCCTTACCTCATCTTTCTGCCATGTCAGTGCATCTTTGTCAAAAAAATAAAGCCAGCTGGATTTTCCTCTCATCTTTGACAGGTAGATGGGTGGCTTTATCTAAGGGATCTGACAGTCACCTTTCTGGATCTTTCTCTTTCCGTTAAACAACTCCTTTCACCAGCCCACTACCCTCAACTCCTCTCCCTCCTTTTATTCTTATATTCGATTCCTTGAAAGGGATCTGTATCTTTGCATTTCAAAAGCCTGCTTCTTTTACTGTTTGAAATGCCCCAAACTTTCTTTGTTCCTCACCCAAATGCCAAGTGTAAAACTTAATACTGCTACAATGATGTGTCTTTGCTGGTTGTGTAAAGTGGTTTGATCTTCAGTGATGGTGCCCTGTGGCGATCTGAGAAATTTCCCCCACATCCCCCCGCCCCCATAGAATATGCAAAGTTCTAGCATGAAGGTATGACCAAGTTTGCCTAAAGAAAAGTAAAAGAGACCTGTGCGGTGGCTCACACCTGTAATCCCAGCACTTTGGGAGGCCGAGGCAGGCGAATCACCTGAGGTCAAGAGTTTGAGACCAGCCTGGCCAACATGGTGAAACCCTGTCTCTTCTAAAAAATACAAAAATTAGCTGGCATGGTGTCAGGCACCTGTAATCCCAGTTACTAGCTACTCAGGAGGCTGTGGCAGGAGGATGGCTTGAATCTGGGAGGCGGAGGTTGCAGTGAGCTGAAATCGCGCCATTGCACTCCAGCCTGGGCAACAAGAGTGAAGTTCCATCTCAAAAAAGAAAAGAAACGAAAAGAAAAAAAGAAAAATAAAGAAAAGAAAAGAAAAAGAAAATTATTTCCCTTGAATTATCTAGAGGAGACTCTGAAAGAGGGCAGCACAGGCGAAGAAATAGAAGGATCTAAGGACAGATGTCACTCCCCAGGTTCCCAATTTCAGACAGCCAAATCTGAGAGCCACCTGCATTATCTCTGACAAAGACAGTCTTTCCTGTTAAGCTTAAGCTGAGAGGCATGAGTGAAAGGTAGAAGTGGGCAGGAGAGCTCAGATCCAAGAAGGAATAGGGAACTGTGATGGGGCCTTTCCAGTCTGGATAGGACTTCAACAGCAAGAGGAGCCAAGCATACCCCAGGAGTGGACGTGGGACAATCCAGTATAACCTCCAGTGACCAATGGCAGATTTTGTCGTCAAGTCACTACTAGATATTGCACACTGAGCAGGGTGGCTTTATGCCCCAGTTTGCTTGGGAAAATCCTGGTTTATTCTGATTTTTCTGGCATAATTATTAATACTGCATCATTTTACTTTCAAGAAATTTCTATTTTAGACAATAAATTAGAGCCCACTGTAATGAACAGAAGGACTTCTGGTGATGGTTCTAGAAGGAAATTTGCTTAGATGAGTAAAAATGTAGGTTTGCTATTTAAGTTCTTTTGCGTGTGTGCTGAACTTGGGATACTCTAAATGTTCATGTGGGGCATTATTCTAAATAAACAATAGGCAAGATGATTATCCAAAGAACAGACAATTTGGACAAATGAAGCCAGCTTTAAGTAACTAAGGAAGTAATTAGGTTGCGCATATCAGTCAATGACAGTCTTATCCTATCTACCCAGCTGAAGATGTTTTACCCACATTGCAGCTCATGAAAGCAGTCAGTAGCAGCACACTGTCTCTTTGAAGGGCAAGGGATTCCTGACACCAGACTCCAATCATTCTTCCAACAACCTCTTCCTCTCACTCATATACCTCCATGGGCCATGAAAGTAACATGAATGAGTGAAATGGGATAGGGTCAGGGGAAAAACAACATAAACACAATGACAACAACTGCTATTATTGAAACCGCTATTCAACCTTCATGTTGAGGACACAGTAGGGAGTAGTGGGGTCCACACTGGACTAGCAAGGAATCAGCTCCAACTCATCATTGCCAGTGCAAGTAAAGTGTTGCCAGAGTTTTCCAACCTCTCAGCAAAAGCCTAAGTCCAGATAACGACGTGAAACCTCCTGGATTTTAACTGTAATCAACCAATTCAATCACCCCCACCACCAGCCCACCAAAACATTGGATGAGCTAAATAAACAGGTCTGCAGTCTGAATCCAGCCTGCTGCTTGCCAGTTTGCAACCTCTACTCCAACCACCAGTGTTTCCATAAGTACTGAAGTTTTTCTGGTTTCCATTTTCTAATGTGGGAACAGATCTACCCAGCCAGGACGAACGGGAAAGAGTGTACCAGATTAAATTAGGAGGGGCCTTGGACTCTAATGTAGTTCAATCCTCCTCATTTGGTAAATGAAACAAGTGGCGCCCAGAGAAATTGCATGAACTGCCAACAGCAGAATGAGTTCATTGGTAAACTGTGGGCTATAACATACCTGCATTACCCAACACTGCTCCCAAGTGACATCCCTCACTAAGTTTCACAGGACAAGTGAATCAGGGAGCTGAGGCATTTTACAGTGGGGTGGGGAGGCTGCTAAGCCCAGAAGTTTCTAGGTAATGAGCAAAACAATGAACAAAGACACTGTGACCAAGACTCTGGGCAATTTGCTGTGAGGAATACAAATAAATAAGGCCTATTCCAGCTCTTCCGTAAGCTGGTGATTTGAACAAAGGCTTGAGTGTTAAAAGATCTGGTCCTTCCTCTTGGGTTTCTGTTGAGTAATGTTGAGTCTTAGATAGAGGCGCTTCAGTCCACCTGAGAAATAGCTACATTGCAACAGGAAAGTCATTTTTGCAGCTATGCACTGCACCTGTCTTCAGTTTCCCTCTCTAAGTGCTGTGCAAATGTTAATTAAACATAGATTATTTGAGAAGTGCTTTCAGCGTTTTAACTCAACTGGGCTGCATCAGATGATGATATTAATATCATTCCCCTGTTGGCAGAATGCTGTTTTTTTAAAAAGAAAACTCTTTTCTTTTTACAGTTTTTGCCATACAGACAATTTATTTTGCCCATCCTCTGGCTATTTCACCTTTTGTGTCATCATTTTCATGAGACAAGTGAAAATAATATTTCTCTTATGCTCCAAAGAGCCAAATCCCTTTTTCTAGCTTGATCCGAAGAAGGCCAGTTGGAGCAGTAATGTGAAAACGCCTGATGTACAGTTCAAGTGCAAATCCTCAGGGAGAAATAATGCATCTCTTTGGGGAAAAAAATAGCTTATACTTATGAGGTAGGAGATTTTCAATTTATAAAGGTTTCCTATTTCTTTCAATTGCCAGGATAACTGCATTCCAAAAAGATTGGGCTTCTCCCATATAAGACAGAACTGCTCTCTTAGATCTGGGATGTAGATTTTAAAATGATGAGTGACAAGCATCCTTCTCCATGCCCTGGACCACTGCCCTGGGGGTTTTAAAGCAGTGCAGATCATAGGGTTAAAATCCATTACCCAGAGAGATGGAAAAGTTCCTCTCAGTGATTTCTTCCCCCATCACTGCTCTCAGGCCTGAATTCCAAATTGATTTCCTTAATAACTATTAAAGATCTTTTTAATTAAACCAGGCATCCTCTTCCTTGGCAAACTTTTCTTGATGACATCTCTGGTTAATTAAAGGTTTAAGCTGCAAAGACGTATTACATAAGAACAAGGGAAACTGCTTTATGGTGTGCCGGTGAAGGATCCTGCTGATTCCTACTGCAGAAACGAAGGCTATGCCAGAGAGCTGCTCTTGTTTTCCTTTACAGCATTTCCTTTCTTTTAGAGGCCCCAGAAAGTGTTAATTCATAATAATAAAAATGGTTGGGTGAATGGGGGTTAATTTTTCTGTTTCCTGAGGTTCAGTTTCTCCTTTCATGCTTGCCTGGTAAGTGTTCATTGAGTGTTCTTCATTAAAAAACATCACTCATTTTTATCACGATTCACTGATGCTGACAAAACATTTTTACCTTTTCATCCAAAATTCCTGAGGTAGTTGATACATTTAGTAATCAAAGAACAACGAATAAAAATCTCTTTTCACCCATCAATAACATGCAGCCACCTCTATAACAGAATGTACCAGGTTCTAACAAGAAGGAAAAATCATATTATATATATAGATATCTATATATAATATGATTTTGCACATATATATATATATATTTGTTGTTGTCATTGTTGTAAATTGCCCTAATTCATTTACCTTTTTCTTTTTCCTGGTTCAGTTTTTTTGTACCAGGACTCCTATTTTAAAATGGTAGAACAGAGTATGGTGTATAGATTGTAACTATGGAATAGAACTTTTCCTTATGAAAAGCTAAATATCTCTTAAATCGGGAACCAAATCCATGACCTTGACTTTGTTGTCATCATAGTTTAAAACACTGGGTCTCAAACCTAGATATACATTAGAATTATCTCTTGTTATTGCTAAAAGTCACATGCCACTGCCTCACCCTAAGCCTGCTGAAATTTTATAGATGATGTCTCTAGGCACCCAAGTTTGGGAACCACTGATCTAATCAATACCTTCAAGTCCAATCAGTTCCACCTGTAGGCCTTCCTGGAAATGGGAAAGATGGCGTACTATTTCAATATTTCAGACTAACAGACAAATCAGACTGTCAAAACAAAGCAAGGGAAAATAGAACCTCACCACTATTTCAGAGGAAAAGTGGTTCCAATTCTGATGAGACAACAAGGAGGAAATTTGAAAGATTTTCTTTTGTTTTCTTCTTAATCTGGAACCAGGAGCATAGACAATCCCATGTCATAATCAGTCACGTGGAGAGACCACTCACAGACTGTCATTGGTCACGTGTTCTATAGCTCTACATCAGTAGTTCTCAAAACATTAGAGAGAACCAGAGTCATTGGAAGAATTTATTTTATAGGCCACTTTACTATAAAAATTTTCAAATATATGGAAAAATAGAACAATAGTATATTTGACACTCACACATGTAATATACCTAGATTCAAAAAATGTTAATGTTTTGCCATATATGTATGTGCCCACATATGCGTGGGTTTATAATTGCTGAACCATTGAAAGGTAAATTACAGATGTCATAATATATAACACTTAAATAATAACCCTAAACAACCCAGAAGTACTTCAGCATGCATTCCTCAAATTAATAACATCTGCCAACATAACCACAGCACCATTATCACACCTAAATGAATTTAAAATAATGTCCTATGATCACATAACACCAATTTTTAAGAAACTTTAAAAGGCAAAACAAAATAAAATAGCAAAGCTTCCAGGGTCAGATTCCTAAAATCTTTGATCCAGTTAGGTGATGCTTCGCAAAACGCTACTGTACATGACTAACTAATGAAGAATGTGTCTTTCCAGTAACTGAAAAGAAGTTCATTTTTTTGTGTGTGCTTGAAAATTGCTTGGCTATTTGCATGGTACTTAACAGTCACAATTTTATTGGATGCTTTTAGCGATGCTACCGTAAGGGAGATAGAGTGATGATAAATCTGGGGCCCAGGGTTATTGAGACCAGCCCAGGTTTTCTAGGTAGCTAACAGTGGTGGCTGGATTCCAACGTTGGCGTAATGGAAGAAACACCAGGCTGGGAGTCTGAAACGAGAATTCTGGTTTTCTCTGTGCTCCCAACTCTGCCTATGTAACTTGGGGTATTGGACCAAACCTCTCTGGACTTTCATGTCTTCTTCTAAAAAGTGAAGAACTAAATCAGTGGTCTCCAAGAGACTTTCTATCTGGATCTTTCTTTCATTCAATACATTTCTGAATTCTTTACTAAAACTCTTCATTCATCTCCATTTGGCCCCATAGCAAATTTGTACAGGGGCTTATCAAGTCATGAAGGAAATACTCAATATTAGAATATTGGTGAGAAACACATGAATTTGACAAAAATCTTACCACTTGCTATGGGCAAGTATAGCAGAAGGCTGAGAGTCTGCCTGTGATGCTTGCTGTCTTCAGGTAGCCCATTAGAGAAAAGAGTGAGTCCCTACAGAGATACAGGAGCCCAGGCCTCCTCTTCCTCACTCCCTTAAAAGAAAACTGCAAAAATCGAAGAGCACATCCCTGGCAAAGTCAACAACTCCTAAACATAAAGGATAAGTTCCATTAACTACTCCCATTTCATTTCACAGGTGATCCCTGCTTCCCTAGCCTTCCCTGTATTACAAGAGCTCAGTGTTTCCCTAAACCTTTACCAGGTCTACTGACGTCTCCCAGCACTGGCCCACCACAGACCGGGGGGCTGGTGGGTGAGGACCAGAGCTGTTTAAAATTATTCCCTTGGGGAGACTTTCATTTCAGATGTATTGTGTGAATTTTTTACAACCAGAACATAGTCATGCATTGCTTGTGTGATTAAAAATAAATAATTAAAACCCTTGACGGCTGATGGGTTTTTCTTTGGACTCTCAAACACAAAGTAATCTCCAGGGTGCAGCAAATGACCCTGCAGTTTTCACTAGTGTGTGGGGTGTGTGTGTAACAGAGAGACAGACACACACACACACACATATACACACACAGAGAGAGAGAGAGAGGGGAGGGGGGAATTCGGGGCAGAGAGGTGGTATGAGATCCCATTTGTAGAAACTGAATGGAAATGGCCCATTGATGCTAATACAGCAACGATAATAATGTGTAAGCCCTTAGATATAGATCATGTTTACATTAAGAGGCAATATGAAAACTAAGGTTAGAAAATCATGGTAGAAACTGGGACAGTAGTTCAAGGTGTGAAAGAAAGATGTGGAGTAAAGAACCAACTGTCCTACTTCATATTATCTCTCTCTCTCCTTTCTCTATGTATCTCTCCTTTCTCTTGGCCTCTCATGACCTCTTTTATATCGTCTCTCCCTACCAGACATGGAACCCCCTCATAACTTCACTCACGACACGCCCCTGCCACAGGTTCTCTGAGACAATAACAGTGCTCATTGAACAGGTTTCTTCTTCAAAAGTCCTCTTTTCTCACTAGGAAGTTCACCATCACCAGCTGACTGTCTTTGTCCTTTAGGGACAGAACTTGCCAGCAGTCAAGATGATCACCTGAGACAAAGCTCAGCAGTCTCGTAGAGGGGAGTTAAGATCCAGAGCTTTTTCTCCACAAAGGAGTCACGCTCCTCAGGGAGGAACCCTCATCATGGAGAGTAGATCAGGCTGTGACCTTACAGATCACCTGGCTGATGCCCTGATTCTCCAGCCTGCCCTCAGGAGGTCTCTGGGTGGTCTGGCTTCAGTAACATCTCCCCACTCCTGGGCAGGATCAGCTGAGATGGTGACTGTCCCTCAAAACAATGGAGCTGGAAAGGACATGTTTGAAAACCTCAGGACTGAATAAAAGGCATTCAGAATAATGAAGGTAAAGAGGGGCCAGGCAATGCCAGACAAGGCGGTGTTGAACACAGTGTGGAGTCAGCTCAGCTCATAAGGACTAGAGTCAGAGGTTAGCGTTCTGATCCCAACTCTGCTATCAACTGACAGCAGACTTTTGCCAAACGACTGAATCTTTCTGGCCCCAGTTTCCCCAGTTTGCAGTTGGCCAGAGAGACCTCATTTTCTACCCTGGGATTTGCTACTCATTAATTGTGTGACTTGAACACATTATGTAACCTTTCTAGTCTCAGTTTCATCATCTGGCATTAAGAGTATCTTTTTGCAGGGTTGTTGTCAGGCTTTAGAGATAATGTATACAAAGCACCTGGTACCGAAGGTAATCAATAAACTAGTCATCCATTACTGTTGCTCAGGACTATGTGATGAAGATGAAGCTATCACTTGCAGGGCAACCATCACATCATGTCTTTTGCATCTTTATACCCTCACATCTTAGTTACAATCTTGGGCATATTGAAAATGCTCAACACTATGGTTTTTCAACAACATCTTAAAAAGTGAGCATTGCCTTCCACTTTGGGACCCCTGCAAGAGGAAATACGAAGTGGGCTCTGGAAATAGAGCACCAAACCCACCCCTCACTGACTATGTCACTGCTGCAGCTCTGGTGGGCATGTGACTTTTGTTTGGCTGCCTCCATCTGAGCCACTTTCTATCTTGGGGGAATTTCCCCACTTTCATGAGAGACTGAAACAGCCTTTGCCAACAGAGTTGAAAAATACCAGCTACTTCCTTTCCTAGCCTTCCTTGCGGCTAAAGCCCAGATTTACACTCTGCCAATCAAGCCTTGGAACCAAACTTTTTACCTTAGAGCTGGTGAGACAAAAGAGAAGTGGGACTAGTGACAGAGTAAAGGTCTAATTCCTGGTGCAAAAGAAGCACAGTGTCTGCGGCAAGAGCAGAAGCAGCCCAGTGGAGTTCCAGAATGGAAGTGGCAGTGGTGCAGATACTGGCATGCAGTTCTCTATGAGAGTAGCCGTGGTTCCCTCATCACACCAGTTCAGCTGTCTGGTGTTAGGATCCCCTCTGGAAGCTTAGCCCTGGTTCTCTGTGAGCACCCCAAAATCTTTTTAATATTATGTTCCTGCTTTACCAGCCAGACGCATCTTCAATTGTTTGCAAATCAACATTTTTTTTTTCAAGACAGAGTCTAGCTCTGTCACCCAGACTGAGGTGCAGTGGGGTGATCTCGGCTCACTGCAACCTCCACCTCCCAGGTTCAAGCAATTCTCCTGCCTCAGCCTTCTGAGTAGCTGGGATTACAAGCACCTGCCACCACGCCTGGCTAATTTTTGTATTTTTAGTAGAGGCAGGGTTTCACCATGTTGACCATGCTGGTCTCAAACTCCTGACCTCATGATCTGCCCACCTCAGCCTCCCAAAGTGCTGGGATTACAGGCGTAAGCCACCACGCCCAGCTGCAAATCAGCATTTTTTTTTTTTAATTCATCAAGATACCGAATCTCTCTGAAGCTCAGTTTCCTCATCTTTAGAAAGGGGTAAATTCTTTGGGTATAGGAGATAATGTATGTCAAGTGTCTGGCACCAGGGTACTCAATACATATTATTTCCCTTGAACACAAGCGCAGCAGCAGTTGTAACCCCCAATTACACTGCTGCATATATTCCTTGCTGACATTTGAGTACATGTGTGCCTCAAGGATCCATGTAATTCTAGAGAGTTCCCATTTTATTGGTTGGTTTTTCAGTTATAGTGAGATCAGAAGGCCAGAAATAGATCAGACCCCAGGTTTACATGTAGAATCATTCAGAAACATCAAAGAGTAATCTGTATAAACTGAATCCAAGAGGGGGACCAGCTCTGGCCCTCAATTCAAAAAATCACAGCTCACCTCTCCACATTTCCCTGAACCTTCCAGCCGAAACAGAATGACCCTGGCATAAATAAATGCTCTTTTAATGCTTTCAAGAATATAATTCTTTCCAGTTTTGAGATTTGCTAACACTGGAATAAAAAACAGCTGCAGAGTTATTATCTCTTGGCATCTCTTTGGCTCCCAGACTGGGTTTTGCCCTTGTGAAGGCCCCTGTGCTGCAAGGATATTGCCATCGAGTGGTGGTGAAGAGTCACACTCTCTGACTAGGGAGCCTCGGCCGGAATTCTAGGTAGCTCATAGCTAACTGCTGTAGACTCACCTTCTGGATTTAGAAATGGAATCTGTTAGCTGCAAAAAAAGGAAAAACCCTCAAACTGGCTTATGCTAAAAGGGACAATTCATTAGATGCATGACAGAGTATCTTACAGTACCCAAGGGCAGTAGGATGGCCAGATCTTGAGATTTCCTGTCTCCATTTCTCTAGGACTACGTGAAGCTTGTCCCTAATCCTCTCAGCCACCCACTTCACCCTTTCCCCTGGATGTCCACATGGATTACTGTCCTCTTTCACCTTCCTGCTCTCTTTATCTGAAGTAGCAGCCTCTCAATCCCATCAATCTCTATTGCCTTAGCAGCTTTATTTTCCTTCGTAGCACTTATTATTGCCTGAGCATATAATATGTTTATTTATTTCTTGTCTCTCCTTTGCCTCACTAGCATGTAAATTCCATGAGGAAAGGAACTTTGTTCTATTCACTATTGTATCATCTGTGCCCAGAAGAGGGTATGGCTTATAGAAGGGATTCAGTAAAACTTTTGAATAAGGAATGAATGAATGAATGAATGAATGAATGAATGAATTCTCCTTATTTCTAGCCTTGTTCTCTGTTTCTGGGTTCTCATGGGAAAAAAAAAAAAAAAAGGCTGCCTAATACCAAGTCTCTGTGACTTCCTTTCTCACCTTATCCAAGCTTTCAGTACTAACTAATTTACTTTTTTAGTGTAAAATCTTGAAGACAGAAAGTATCTGATTGGCTTAGTGCAGCCTACAAAAGAGTTCCTTTGGAGTCCACTAGAAAACTTATGGTTCAAGAATAAGGCTCAAAGCACTTTTTGTGCTTTGACAGCCAGGACTATGGGAAAAATAATTTGCCTCCTTAAGTAAAAAACCATTATGTAGTTTATTTTTTGTATAAAATAAACTTAATAAACCATCAATAATCTTTGAAGAACCTGGACAATCACAAATTATTTTTGTTATAACACACATATACACACAATTAAGCAAAAAAAAAATTACACAAAACATACATGTCTGTGTCTTTCTTCCTGAATTCCCAACTGTTTCCATCAAAGCCCTTCTAAGTGGATCTTTTCAGGATCCCCGATTAGAAGGCTAGCCTCTACAAGGGGTCTGAACCCTAACTCTGCACTTGAGCCTTACCTGTGATTGACTCTTGATGCTGTGATTTCCTTTTTTCTGAAGGCAGCATTCCAGTATTTAGCTGCTGGTCTTCTGGTTGATTATAAGATGAACTATTTTCATCCATCACTGCCTCCACACCCATTATATGTGTTTTTTTCCAGTTAGCTTTAAAATGGGACAAAGCTTCTACTTTGCTGTAAAACTCTGCGTTTCTCTTTGACCCATTCCTCACCAAGAAGCAAATTATTCTAATCAGTTTTCTCTTCTGTTAAGCTTAGGTTGGGTGCAATCACTGTTGCATTAATTAATTAACAGACTATTGGTCTGGTTGCCCTGGCAATACCCACCAAAGCAGCAGAACCTTTCCAACAGGAGAGCACATCAAGCAGTCAATTAACTGTTTTCTTCACATGAAGAAGTCAAGTGCACAGAGCACCTGCTACAGAAATGGGCTCCCAGGGGATGCTTAAGAAACACTTGCTGACTGGCTGACAACATGTAGGCCGACGAAGTGGGTGCTGAGTCTGCAGCCTTGAACATCTGAAGGCGTTTAGAGCTGGTGACTGAGACACTGTCCAAGGGGAATAGCAGCCAGTGTGATTTTACAAGAGCCTCAGTGTGGTACCAATCCCTAACAAATAATCTAGAAAAGCATGAAAAGAGGGCCTACAAACCCTTAGGCAAGGCCAAGCTGCCATGGGGAGGAAAACCAAACGAATTCATTTCCTGGTCACTTCCACTACCACCTCCCAAGTCCATAAAGAAGAGTTTCCACTTGGGACCTTGGTGTTGGGGGCTCCACCATAGCATTGTTCCTCCGTTGCAGGGCATTAACCTGACTCACACTAGGTCAGATGTCCAATCAGGAGAATCTCCCCAAGTCAAGTGTGAATAATAGAGAATGCCACTGTATACATACACACAAGAACTAGCTTTCAGCTTACTTACAGATTAGCATGATATTTCCAGTTCATTTCTTCCAAGGCTGTGTTCTTGGTTCCTTTGGGAAAGTTGGGTCTTCTCAGGCACATCCCCAGTTCAGGATG